CGCAGAAGGCTGGGTGTGTGTTGGGGTGGGGGGGTTCAGGGCAGAGGGCTGGGGGCCGGGACCGCGGCAGGGAGCTGCGTGCCACTCAGAATCAGCTCGCGTGCCATCCTTGGCACGTGTGCCGTAGGTTGCCGACCCCTGGTCTAACCATTCCCTAGTACGCTTTGATCTACCCATTTTGTTATTTAAAGCCCCTTGAGCAAGAAACAATCTGGGAGAAAGGGCCAAACTACAGCACTTTGCAGAATTTCATCCCCTCCACGGAGGAGAAGATGCCTTGCCAGGCCTTTTGAAGAAGACCAGTTTTTCAGAGGTAGAACATCAGGTACGCTGATCTCCATCAGCTACTCTTGCTCCCATCAAGTCAATGAGCCAGCTCTGTGGGTTTGCTTGAGTGACAGACTCTGAGTCAAACACTGGCTTAGGTTCTCACTTATTAAAAATATAGATCGACTTTTGTTTTGAAATGAAAGAACACCAACCAGTGTGAGGGCTGGGTTTGTTTTTAAAGCCACACAGACAACTTAGTGTAATCAGGATGGCAAATGATGCCTGGGATTGCAGGGTGGGAGTGGGAAGTGGCTTTTTCAGACAGAGCACTGGGAATCAGGATGCCAGGGTTTCATCCCCAGCTGTTAGCTCATGTCGTGGCCTTCAGCTGGTCACAGCCTCAGTGTCCCCACCGTTAAACTGTGGAAAAACACCTTCCTACTTCCCAGGGAGGTCACGAGGATTAATAAATCTGGCTAGTAAAGGTGATGAAAGCTTCTAGATGAGAGAACAATTTGTATTAGAAGAATGGGATCTACAGGCATTTCCTCATGGTCACACATCTTCAGAACTAAGGAAGGCCCCTAATGGTTGTGATGCATTTGTGAAGGTGCCTTCTAGGTTTGACCAACCCCAAGCCTGGAATCATTAGAAAGTACAATCAAATCTGGACTTACTTCTCCTCTCCAAACTCAAACTTCCCAGGCCCATTCCTTAGCAGGCTGCCATTAAGCCACTTGGGAATGTGCCCTTTGACCTTTGTAAGGATGGGCTGAGGAGTCTCTTCCACACTTCTCATTAGTGGCGAGATGCATTGCAAACCCTTCCGGTTGCTGAAGGTGACCGGCTCCTGTTGTGGGCTCGGCAGAAAGTCCTTTAGAACTACAAAGAACAAACAAGAAGTTAGAAGACAGCAAGTGACTAAGGCCCTTAGTGCTAAAAGCTACAGACTGACAGTCACCAGCCTAGATATCTGCAACTTGGGCTTGGAGTTCCATGACAAAAGCCTCCTGCAAATAACCAAAATGCAACGGATGTTCAAAATAAAGCTCTGCTTCAAAGTCTCTGTCATAGCCATAGGGAGCTGAAAATTCAATGCATTAAATCTTACCGTGATTAATCCAGCACAGACACCTGCAAGGTGCTTTTGTATGTTGCAAAGAGGGAGGAAATGAACTTTTCAGGAAGACTAAATTAAAATAATTTATTTGAACATGTAACAACAACAAGTGAGGGACACAGGCATTTGTTACGACCACCTAGAGATAGAGACTATAAGGTGCCCAGAAATAAATATGTTACAACCTAAATGGAGAGAACACAAAATGGTGCTTATAGATTCCCCGGCAAACCTCATGCTGAACGCCTCCAAAGGCTCCGCTCTTCCACGAACACCAGTGCAAGGGGATCTATTACAGATTCTAGGCAGGCACCTCGGTCTCCCCACTGAGTGATGGTTCATTGTACTACCAGGTGGGCTGGGCACAATGCAGGTAAGGAAAGCAGTACAGAGGAGCCACCTTAGCACTACTACAGACCAGACCCAGGCTCAGCCAGTCTGGGAGCAGTGTGAAGACAACATGCTCAGTCCTGGGGGTTTCCAAGCAGTGGTGGGAAGTGATGCATCTGTGCAGGGCAGCACCTCTCAGTCAAGCTGTCGAGGCTTCATTATCAGATGTGTTTCTCTGTTCACCTAGATACCTTGGTAATGGGTGCATTAGAAATGCCGAGGAGACCGGTCACTGGGGAACATTTTTGTACAGCTTGTTACTTAGTTAACTGGCTCCCATGGCCCCAAGGTGGCTCTGAACACACACTGTAGAGGCACAAAGAGCAGGAGAGCAAGATCACAATGTTCATGCCCTAGGGGATACATGCAGCTTCTCAGAGATGCAACAAGTCAGATGTCGCACATGACTCAGCAAGTGGGGAAAGGGCACATCTGGGTATCTGCCGGGGACCTGTCCTTCCTTCAAAGTAGGTTAGTCACATCCAGGCAAAAGGCACTTTAGTTCCCTAACAGTCATGCCTACTACTTGCTGTTGGAAACCAAGAAGGATTAGCTTTGTTTGTAAAAAATAAAACAAACTCTCTGTATGGGTGCTGACTGGGATATGGGATTGGTCACCTCCATAAAAGTCACCATTAGAACAAACAGGCTTCTCTCAAACTGGGCATGCATTTGTCATGCAAGACCCCTTTTTAATCGTGGCACCAGCAAATCACCTGTAGGCAGAAAGTCCCCTGTGCTGCAACAACTGTAGAACAAAGGTCAGCTGCATCTTAGCAGCTTTCTCCTCTATTTTACAGATTGCATTCTTTCCCCTTTTTGTGGCACTGTTCTCTATTAAAGCTCCTGTTTCTTACCTGCTCTGAGAGCCAGACAGCTTCCCCTCCACTGGGGTGATGCCAGTGTACAGGATTAGATGTACAAAGCTGTTTAACCCTGAGTGGGTAACCAAAGGCAGAACTTGCCCCAGGGATATCACTGCTGTATGAGTTATTACTGTTCTGGCAATGCAATTAGTTTGTACTTTACCAACTCTTAAATTACAGTAAGGAGCCCTATAATCCTGTAAACTATTTCCTTGCCAAAGGCAGCACACAAGCTGATTTTCAGTGGCACTCACACTGCCCGGGTCCTGGCCACCGGTCCGGGGGGCTCTGCATTTTAATTGAATTTTAAATGAAGCTTCTTAAACATTTTAAAAACCTTATTTACTTTACATACAATAGTTTAGTTATATATTATAGACTTCTAGAAAGAGACCTTCTAAAAACATTAACATGTATGACTGGTACGCGAAACCTTAAGTCAGAGTGAATACAAGAAGACTCAGCACAACACTTCTGAAAGGTTGCCGACCCCTGGTCTAGATTCTGTCCTTCTCACCTACACTTAGAGCTCACTCCCTTCCCCATTTCTCAATCTGCAGATCTGTGCATCTCCCTGCTCAGCTCAGCCACACCTGCCTCGAGGCAACATTCCCAGTGCCCAGTAAGTGCATTCTTTCCACCATTCAGCCACTATGGAGACAATGCTGTGCTGCCTCTCAGCTGCTCTCCTTCTCATCATGCAAAAGGTACCGTTAGTATCTAATATTTGTATGGCAGGAGCACCTATATCAGGCTCCACTGTGCCAGGCATTGTACACACTTATAACAAAAAGACGGACCCTGCTCCAAAAAGCTTATAATCTAAGTATGCTAGGCTTTTAAGAACCTAGGGATCCCAGCTCGCTTAGGAAGCAGGGCTGGTGGCATAGCACATAGTGTGACTCCATACACGCCAGTTCTAAACGCTAAAGAATGCTTCCATTCACAGTATCTCCACTAACTTCTCTTGCTGCTCTATGGCCCTGTTTAAGGATGTATAGAGGGGGGCCATCTTGGCCATTAAACAGATGAGAGGGAATTTTAGAAAGAAAAGAAAATCCCATTTTCGAGCATTCTCATTGTCTCTACGGGGCAAGGGTTTGACCATAAAAATCAGGCTGGTTCCATTGTCCATGCTGGTCTCATTCCTAGGGTTACCATTCGTCCGGATTTACCCGGACATGTCCTCCTTTTTGTGCTAAAAATAGCGTCCGGGGGGAATTTGTAAAGCACTCACAATGTCCGGGATTTCCCC